ACTTCATTCGTGAAAAGGTGGAAGAAGGGACGATAGATGTGCATAAGATCCATACCAAAGATAACATAGCAGATTTCATGACGAAGGTGATCAACGCTGATAAATTTACCTGGTGTCAATCCTCCTATGGCCTGTCAGAAACGTAAGTAACATGAAGGTACAAGGTAGAAAGAATAGTGTGAAGATAAGATTGTTCCAATCGAATCTTAAAGTGGGAGATTGTTGAAAATTGGTGCAATTGATTGTAACATACATCGATTCTTCTGTATATTACTCATTTGAAATGCTGGAACTAACCCCCAACCTGCGAGCTTCAGTTCATCTGTCGGTCGGAGAAATCCAGAATCTGAAGAGGAAAAATGGGGATGATGCACTTTGCAAAGATGTTTTTCTAGGAGTCGGTAAATGAAGAGCATGTTCGAACTGTCGAGCATCATAACAATATCTGCTCCAGCGGGTAGGTACATCGGCAGCTGTATTTACGTAGGGTCCGGTTCACTGTATGATGGTTCAGAATTACGAGTTTCGACATTTTGGGTAGTTGCTGAGGCATAGGTCAATATTCTTTGCAGGAGCAAGCAGGCATTAGATACAAGGTTGTGCTTTGCCTTCATGGTATAGTAGTGCATTTGTTTATTGATCGGAAAAAAGGTTGATAATTTTCCCCATTTAGGTATGCTTTGCCCCTCTTTTCCTTGAATTTTAAGGTCGCCCCCATTTAGCTGGAAGATTTTCAACTTTTGAGTACTTCTGATATGAAGATGATGTAACCTCTGTAAATAAATGTTCGTTTAAACCCCCTTTTCTCTTTATTTCTACAAAATCTTTTCATGTAGATCCTGCAATCTGTGCATGTTGTGATCGTATTATTTGTATTTGTAGAGGTGAGATATTTTTTAAATTTAATATTTAGAAATATTAACTATGTGAGATTCATACATACTATTAATCTTGTATATAAACATTATTTTTTTACTTTCATATTTTACTATATTTTATTAACTAAAATATATTTGAGAATCTACAAGTAAAAAATAGAATAAAAAAAAAATTTCACTAATTCATCGTTAGATGTTGCATAAAATTCAATTTACACAAATTCATTGAAAATAAATTTATATTACATAAATATTCAAAAAAGAGATACATATCCAAATAAGTATGAATATTTAAGAAACAAGGTGTGGCTTTTATGACAATGATGTAATTATGGAAATAATAAGATCAAATATGTCATTTAACATCTTATTTTGCAATCAGTTCTTCCAAACTACTGGATTTTCTAGCATTTTTCATTTTCAGCGTATTTTGCACAATCAACTCTTTCAAAAAGGTGTTTACCAAACACTAAAAATAAAGGATTTGACTACCAATAAGCTATTTATACTCAAATAATTCAAAATCTCTTCAAAAAGTTGTTTACCAAACACCCCCATTAACTTATTAAAACTTATTCTAAACCGAATCAAAATTAAATCGGTAAACAACAAAACATCACATTAGTGACCGTAGACAACCACTGACAAGAGATGAAAGAATTTTGAGAAGATATTTTATTCTCTTATATTCTTAGTCAAATGTAATAACTTAAGCCTACAGACTCTAAATCACTCCTTAACCTCTCCTACAACATTGTTTCTGCTAAAAACTTTTGTTTTGGCTAGAGAAAGTAGATGTAATGCAAGAAGAAAAGAATTCATTGAGGAAAGGAGTTATATTTCGAGATTTTAACATCAAGATAGTATGTTTTTAATCTTTGTGTTGTTATGGCTTCATTGAACGTTATACTTTGTGGTGAATGTGAGCATTCAAGGCGTTTGGGCATGATTTGTACCTAACTTGAGTATTTCTAATATTAATATTTTATTGGATTTAGAGTTTATATCATTTCAAACACGATAAAATACAAAATACAATTGTATTGTTGAACTTGCATTATCTTATAGTTAGGACAACCAAGTAGACTCGGTAATTCGGGATGCATTTAGGGGTGGGCTTACCTAGGTCATGATCCATCCTTTGACTTAAAAACTAAACATATATAATTTTAAATAAAAATATATATTAATTATGTTAAAAATTATATTTGTTTAATTGATATTTTTTAATTTAAGTAATAATTTTAAAATCTTTACTAATAATTTCTTTTTTTATTAAAAAAGGCTATTAAGCATACAATTTAAAAAATTATATATATATAAACTCAAAATTATTTGAAAAATTTAACAACAATTTATATATTTAATCATTAAATTATTTAAAAGAATTAAATTGGTTGATAAATTTAACTACAATTCAGTAACACCAAGGAAAGTGTTCTTCTAAGCCTGCTTTGCACGTCTTTACGTTCAAATATTTAGAGAAAAAAAGCAGGAAGGATGTATGGATAAATATATGCGTTTTCTATAAATGGTTAGCCTTTGAAAAATTACCTTAAAGAGGTTATTTGTGCTACAGCATAAAGTTAGTTTTCAAATGAGTTGGATTCTACTTAAAATAAATCCTAAATCTCAATTGATTCAATGTTACTGTTGTATGAAGTCGTATTATTCAGATCTGAAATTGATTCAATTTTTGCAATGATTCAAGAATCTGACACTTTTTTGTCTTTACATTTAATTTAATGATTATATTCTGTTAACTTTATCAAATAATTTCATATATTATTAATAAAAATATATTGAGTTAAAAAAATATATACATGAGATTATTAAAAGATATTAAAATTATTACTTTTTTTAACTCTCTTTTTTATTCTGTCATTTATTACAATATCTATCCAAAATGCTGCATTTTATAACCGAGTAGTGGGTCTAGCTTAGTGGTGGTGGAGTTGATATAAAACTTCTTCTATTATTAATTTTCTATCCAATACGTTGGTGATACGTATCACCATTTAATTGGCTGGAGAATAAAATAATTAAATTAAAAAACCCTCACCGTCCACTTTTGTTGTGACGTGTGTCACAATCCGATTAAAATATTAAATATATTAAATTAAGTTAAGATTAAGATCAAATTAATAAAATATATAAATATTGAGGATTAAAGGTAGAATTTCGTCAATTTTGTTATATATCACCGATGGTAAAAATAAAAAAGCTAAATAATTAGGTGATCAATGATATAATTTTTCCATTTTTTATAGTCAACAAAATTGTGCAATTTTTTAATAATTCTAATTAATTTTTTAATAATTCTAATAGATTAATTAGATAGTAATATATATTATTTTATTTTATTGATTATTATCTAATTGATGTAATAAAATTATTAAAAATAATATTTTTGTGACGATAAAATAGAAAATGATATGAATTTTTTTAAAAAATTATCATGTCAATATCAACATCAAGTTTTTAACAATGGATGAGTAAAATAAAGAATAAAATTAATGATACTTTTATTTAAAAATTATTTATAATTAAAATAAAAAAGAACTAGTTTAATGACTATTAATAAAATTTATCTGGGTAAAGTAACGAATGTTCCCCAACTATAAGATATTACTTTATTAAGTCTCTTGATTATTAAAAATTAAAAAATGGCTCTCCAACTATAGAATGTTGCTTTTTAAATCCCTCGACTATCAAAAGTTACAAAATGGTCATTCAACTATTCATTATGTTATAAACTCGTTTTTTTTTTGTTAAAAATTAATAATATTCTGAGTTGACCGTTAACTTGCTGACTGTGATATGATAAAATTTAATCTCAGAATCTCAAACTACTATAACATCTCAATTATCATGCTAACTTCCAACTTAGACAATCGCCAATTTTTAACGAAAAATGACGAGTTTGAAATATAATGAATAGTCAGATGACCATTTTATAACTTTCGATAGTCGAGAGACTCAACAAAAGAGCACTCTATAGTCAAATGACCATTTTAAAATTTTTATTAGTAAAGAGACTTAATAAAAATATACAATTTGTATACTTTATTCAATTTATTTTATTTTATTGTTTTATTTAGTCCATTCGTTATGGAAATATATTTTCTCTTTCGCTCACTATATTTTTACGTATAAAAATGATCGAATTCTTATATTTAGAGGATCGACCCTGTTTTAGTTTGTTAAACACGATGGGATTATATAATATTAAAAAAGTAATTAAAATAACACATAAACACAATAATTTTAGATAAACCATTAACGCATAAAAATGTCCATGCCTTTAAATACAACAGCATGAAAAATATGTATGATAATTAGAGTAGACTCCACTCGAGATAAAAAATTGAGTTATTTGAATTAACGAATTTTATTTTATAAATTAAAATTTATTTAAAATATATTCAAGTTGAGTTGAGTCATTTGAATTTATATTTAAATTTAATTGAAAATATTTATTATGTTATGGTACCATTTGGTTCCAATTTAACCGATTTTCTGCATATATCATGTAGAGTTGAGGGATTTGAATCGAATTTAGAAACTAATCTTCTAATTACTAAAAATTTTGAGTTATTTGAGTTCTATTTTATTACTCAACTTGAAATTGATTTTTTTAAGTTATGTCAAGTTAAGTTGTGTCAAATTTTTTAACATTGAATCGAGTAAAAAAAGTTCAATTTTTTCGAGATGAGTCGAGTTTTGCTGACCCCTGCGGCCAGTAACAAATACATAAAAAATTTATTGCATGGGCCAATATAAATATAATAAAAAGATTTATCTAACATAATTCATATATACATTTTTTATTTAAAAATATAATAGCAACTATATATATTTAAATTGAATATAAAATTTTTAATTTTATGATCATATATATATAACTTATTGTTAACTTTATCAAATAGTTTATTTTTTAAATAATTTCATACATCAAAGGCTAGTGGCTTGATTGAAAACAAATTAAATAGTTATGTGGTATGTTTGATAAAATTGAAAGATTTATGGCAAAAGTAAATGTTATAAATAGTTAAATGGTAAACTGAGTAGTTTACTCAACTTTAAATCCAAAATAGGAAAACCCGGAGATCTCTCCCGTTTCTCCAAAATTCCAAATCCGTGAACCCTAAAATACAACAAAATAACTAGGTTTATGGCAAAATTTGATGCCCAAACTCTCATCAGAGACAAAAGGTTCTGGATCGCTTCTTTCCTCATTGCTTGGGCTGCTGCTCTCCAGGTAAAAAAAAATGCGATTCTTGTTGCAAATTTGACCCATTTTCTGGTTTTTCAATCATTTAATTGCATTTGAATTTCTGTGTGTGTTTGTTCTTCTTCTTCTTTTGGAAGGGGCATATGACGTGGATGCAAAGGCAGGACGCTTTCAAGCAAAAATTCGGTACACCAAATCAATCCAATGATGATAAATCAGAAAACATTTCCCAAAGATGAATCAGCTGGTTTGTTTTCTAATGCTGTTTTTTCATTTGATTGTTAGAACAATGTCGGATATTTGTGACCTCATGTTTAGATGATGAGGTTATTAAGTTTCTTCTTCAGTTAGACCTTAAAATGCCCAATATTAATCAGTATGTTTGAAAATTTCAAGGAAGATTGATATTATAAGTTTAATAGATTGTGGCTTCGCAGATTTATGTGATGCTATATAAAGTCTAAACTGTTATAGACAAATTCAATCGAACGCTTCTGGTATTGCGATATCTTTTTCAGATTTCGAATGAGTGTCTAATATCTTTTTCCGAATATTTGAATGGTTAGAAATTTTTAAAAGAAGAAAGTTAACATTAAACATTAAACCTTAATAAGAAGATTGAACATCAGAACACTTTACAATGATTGAAGTTCGGTTTTGATAGCTAATATCTACTTCACATTCTTGGTGAGTTTAGGGTTCATAAAACTTGCTATTTAGTCTAAAAGTATTTATACAGAAAACCCAAATCACGATATTCTTTTCTTGTGATTTTTCCTCTCATCAGACATATTCATCAGTAGGTGTGACTTTGTTGCTTGCTAAATCCAGGACAAAAAGTTCTTGATCTGAAACCTTTGTGATCCCATCAATGGCTGAAATTATTTTCAGATCATTTGGCTCTTTGGTTTCGATGCTAAGACTTGATAGAGGTTGATCCTGGCTTTTACCCCACAAAACCAGATAAAGGCCAATGACAATAACAATGGCTCCAATAACCCTATAGATAAGATCAACACTGTAAGTGCAGGAAGTATGAAACTTTTTCCAGCAGTTTCCTTGTCGGAAACGGAGAAGGGATTATTTACCTTCCTAGGTAGAGTGTTTCTGATAAGATAAATGAGCTCAAAATCGCAACAATCACCGTGCTTAAGGGATTAAAAGCAGTTACGAAAACCGGTCCTCTACTTCTCATTATGGTCCCTTGAATATAATATGCCAATCCAGAGCATAAAATACCCTACAAGCAATCAAAATATTTTTGAATCATCTTGCATGGATATTACTCAAGTATTTTACTGCTGTGCTGTTTATGTTTTTAACTCTTTTCTGCTGTATATATTCATGATGGAGAGTGTTCTTACGCTGTAAACTGCTGCTAAGAGTTTAGAATCGAAATGAATATACCAAACGGTAGGATTGCCGGCATCCATGATTAGGGCAACGATGCTTCCTTGAATGGTGCCGGCCAAACATATTAAAGCTGTTAGGGAAAGCTCAGCTGGGTATGATTTTAGCGTTGTCGCCTACACATCACCGACATTACATTCTTATCAATATGAGGATACAAGTACGGTTGGTTTTTTCCATAGTTAATTGACTAATGGTCAACACATGTTGCTGACATAATATTTTCACATGTGTTTAATTGCTGACATGATATGTAATATGTCACCTATAATAATGATGTGGCACATGCCAATGAAAGTAATGAGCGAGCGTGATAAAAGTCTTACTTGAAGAACGATGAAACTAGCCCAGCAGAAACAACCGACGGTGATCATGATGGCACCTCTTATGGGATGTTGCTGAGTTCCGGCAGTGGAAGAGATTTGATGATGGTTTGAGTTTGTCCATGGCAACTGCAACTTTGGTCCATTCATCAATGACATCAGCATTGCACCCCCAACTGTTACAATAGTTCCTATGATCTTTGCCTGGCTACGACGCTTTTTTATGTTAACCTCCTCAAGCCTGCAAACACATCCATTTTCAATTACAAGTGTTGAGGTTGAGTCACACTTTTCTACTATGCTAATATCATTTATATTTATTCAAATTTGAATTAAAATATATACAAATAAATTCTGATAAAATTTATGCACGGTATTAATGTCATTTTTATATTATCTAAATTTGATTCAATCTGAAATATATATATAGTAATGGATATGGGTTGCATTTCGGTTGATTCGACCTAAAAGTATACATATTTCATCCGAATTCGACTTGATTTGAGGTTAGGATGACTTCATTTGACTCTAAATTTAATCTTCCTTTTGAGATACAATTTGACTGGACTCAAATATACTTTAAAAAATAATATTAATTTTATTTGATAAAATAGGGATTTAATTAAAATAATAATATAGAGAGATATTATTGCAATTAACTTTATATATAATGTATAATTATATTAATTTTTTGGATCAGATCGAGTATTTTTCACCTTAAACTTAAATCTTACTCAATCTGAACTTATCTTCTAAAAAAAATGATTTGATCCAATTCAAACCTGAATTTTAAGAAAAATCAGGCTGATAGAGTTGGATCGAGTCAGAATTCATTGTGTTCGGGTTTCGTGACTATCCATATATATCTCAAATTTTACTTACATGTATGCACACATGTGTATATTTTCGTATAAAATACGTTAAAAATCAGTTTTTTTAACGAAGTTAAAAAAACATATTTTTATTTTATATGGTATAGAAATTATTTATATCTATTTAAAGTATAACTCGACCAAAATATAAACTTTAAATTATACTAAAATTTAGTTAGGTAAAGTATAAAAAATGGTCCCCGACTATTTATTATGTTTCAAACTTATCATTTTCCTTTAAAAAATTGGCGGTTGTCTAAGTTGGATGTTAACATGATGGTTGTGATATGATAGCCATTTGAGATTATGGGATCAAATTTGATTATATCACAGTCAACAGATTACGTTCAATTCAGAATACTGCTAATTTTTAAACGGAAAAATATAAGTTTAGAACCCACTGAATAGTCGAGTGACCATTTTGTAACACTCTACAGTCAAAAGACCATTTCATAACTTTTAATAGTCGAATGACTTAATAAAGCATTATCCTATAGTTGAGGGACCATTTGTGTACTTTACCCAATTTATTTATATATAAATGTAACTTGAAACCATTAGTTGAGATTAAGTTTGAAATTTGTTTTAAAAAAAGGCACATAGGAGCCTTGTCCTCACTTATCTAAGTAGACAATTTCCTTTCAGTCCTCCTCAAAACATAAACATTCAATTTAAATATTTTTAGTTTTTTCTTAAATGGATTTGCTTTATATTTTTTACTCCTAAATTAATAATTTAATTCAGTCCATTTTAAAAAAAAAAATATTTTTCTTAAATCCATTTTTCCATGTAAAAGATATATCCAAATCCTTGAAATAGCAAAGCTATATAGTGTAGAAATGGTTACTTGAAGATCCAGGCGAAGATAAATGCAAAAGCAGGAAGAACATTGCACATTGCAGATGTGAAAGTTGCTGAAGTATACTTCATGCCACCGTAGAATAAGTTCTGATCAAGTACCGGCCTGAAACATTATCAAAATATTATATCTCACGGATCTATATATTTAAAAATATACTCTAAAATCTTCATATTCTTTTTCCCCCTTTTATTAACATATTAAACTAAAATTAATAATATTTTTCTTCAAAATAATGGATATGTAATTGTTCTTATAGAGAACTGCATGTCAGTTGGTGTTGACAAGTAAATAATTGGAATGGTACGTGAAACTTACTCCAATAAGCCTAGTAGCAATATCTTAATAAAGATAGACAATGTCATTTTTGGCCTAATCTTCCTGCAAATTCATTAAGATAAATATAAAATGATAGTAAATATGTTGGATAAATATAAGAGTAAACTATATTTTCAGTAACTAAACTATTACTTTTATTTCTTTTTGGCCCCAAAATTTTATTTTTTCAAAATCGTTCCTAATGTTTACTTTCAGTTTCATTTTGATATCCTTTCGTTAAAAACTTAACAGTGATATTGACGTGTCACCATAAGACAATATAATACCATCAATGGAAAAAATATCAAGTCAATAATTATGTTAATTTTTTAACGATGAGATATCAAATCGAAACCTAAACTAAATGTTAAATATGATTCTTTTTTTAAAAAAAAAACTAAAGTTAAGGTACCAAAATGGAACAAAAATAACATTTTAGGTACTAAATGTCAGAGATTTATATAGCGGTCTGCGACTATAATAACGTCTGTTATATAGCGGTAAAGTGCCATCGGAAACCGTTATCCTATGTCTGCGATAATCGCAATCACTATAATAACGTCCGCTATATTCGAAAATGGCGACAAATCAACCGCAGAACGTTACCCTAGAAATGAAGGAAGGGGGAGCATGAAACCTATCGAGAACAATGGCGAAAGGAGCAATGACGAGAGTGGCAACAGCGTGGCGGTAGACAACTAAAACATGTTCGCTCATGCCTTGGTTTAAAGCAAACATTGTGATCAAAGACATGCCCGCAAACCCCGACTGCAAAAGAATTACCGCTACAAATGGCTTTGTTTGAGCAAGAATTTTGGCCAAATAATCCATTGAAATTTTGTGTGTGCGTGTTTTTTGGCTCTACACAATCTCTCTTTCCCTCTAAAACAATCAATCACTACCTACTTATACACAAATTATTTACCGATTAAAGTAATAATTAAACTTTTGGGTTTCCATAAAAATGAAGTAACTCTCATGGTCAAACATCATTGACCAACGGTCTCCTCTTTTTTATGAAAACATCTCAAACATAAATAATTCGGCATCTTTGAGCACAAAAGTTTATTAGTTTTAGTGGGCTTTGCCTACACGGACCATTATCTAGGAGAAGTAGATGATTTTATGAGAATTCTTTTAAGGGTAAATAACAATCGTAGTCACTTAATTTCTAGGATGTTTTCAATTTAATAACCAAAATTGGAAATTTTTCATCGAAGTCATTGCATTTAAAAAAACTATAATTTTGATCATTCGACATAGGCCTCTAAACGAACTGAACGAACAACTAAATGAACGAAATTTCTTGCTCGTGTTTGTTCACTAAAAAATTTAGCTTGTTCGTGTTCATTAAAATGATAAACGAACACAAATGAATAAACTTAAACTAACACAAACGAACGAACATAAAATTAATTGGGTTTATATTTGAGAAGTTTTTTCTTTTCGAATAATTTTAGGATTTATATTATTTTTTATTGATTTGAGTATTTTTTTTATTTGAGTTAAAAAATAATTTAGTTTAAAAATATTAATGGGTTTAAAGTTAAAATTTATTAAGTCTTAATATTTCAAACGGGTTTGGAGAACATAAACAAACAAACATAAATGAACGAGTTACTGAACGTTCACAAACATAAATGAATGATTCGTGTTTGTTTCTTTAATTAAACGAACATAAAATATTGTTCATATTCGTTCATTTAATGAATAAACGGACATAAACGAACTTCCTCCGAATTATTCACGAACGGTTCGCTGAATGTTCAGTTCGTTTACAGGACTTCTTAGACCGTTAAACAACTAGTGAAAGCTAGCGTGACATGCCGGCATATAATTTTTGTTAATAGATTATTATTAAAAATGAAATAATGACATGTGACACAATTTTATAGATGAAAATTAATGAAAAATTAATTTATAAATAGCTTAAGGGAGATCATACTCTGCACTTATAAAAGATGTGAGCGATGCCCAACCACTCTGCAAAGAAAAGTAATTGTTATTATGACAAAATAAGATATTTAAGTTAAACAGTGTCAGATAAATTAATTTTATTTATTTTTTTATAAATATATTAATTATAATAAATGTAACACCCTAATCTAGTACGACCCAAAGACCAATGGATTAAAATGTTACACGAGACTACTAAAGTGACTAACCTAAAAATTTCTTTTAAAAACTTATTATAAAACATCTGATAAAATTCACCCATAGTAAATAAAAAGAAAAAAAAAACATAGTAATAACTCTATTTAAAAAATATGGGGAGCTCCCAAAACATTCAAAATAATAACAGTACTGATTTTACAAAACATAGTTACGACTGAATACACAATGGTCTATATAATAGTACATGCCCTCTAAGGATAATCCAAGACGTACTTTGATGCCTTGGCTGGACTGGAATGGCTTCTGACGATAATGCTCCGCTACTGGCCACCTAGGAACCTGCACACGGAAACACATTTTATACGTTGAGCTTACAAGCTCAGTGTCACATTAATAATTGTATTGTACTACATGTATTCACTATATGAGCATGCAAGTGGCATAGATATATGAAAATGTGAACTACTGACATGAACTGCTAAGTAGGCATCATGGTGCGACTGAGGCATCAGCATCTCGGAGTCCATGCACCACTCTAGTTTTTCTAAAATACCCTTGGGTATTTGGGTGAGATCTGAAGCTGCATTAAAAATGTACACCCGCCAACATACTCCGTCAAGTCTTGGGGAATCTGTGCCCATTCGGCTACTGAAGTGCCTTGTCATTGACTGGATATCCAACTGACTATCAGAAGTGTCAAACAAGGCTAGTTTTATGTAATCTTAGATGATATTATTTCTAATTGTTCTGATATTAATTATTTCTCTCACTTTTAGTTTTATCTGTTGATATTTTGATGTTATTGGGCCCCTCAAGTCTAATCTCTTACTTAATTGATTATTTATCCAAAATTGTATGCTGGTATCGATATTATCCTTTCAATATTGATATTAAACCCTGAATATCGATACTCTCCTTTTGGTATCGACACTTACTGTCTGATATAGGCTAATTGGGAAATATAGTATCGATACTGATGGATGAGTATCAATACTCTAGGGCTGAGGTATTGATATTGGCCTAAGTATGAATACCAAAACTAGATTTGATGTTTTGGAAAATACCTTAGTATCGATACCCCTACTGGGAGTATCGATACTCTACCTTGGTTATCAATACTCCCTTAAGTACCGATATCAAAAATATATTATTGAATCTGATTTGTGCCCTTTGTATGGATACCACCATATGAGTATCGAAACCGGACTTGCAATATCGATACTCATTGAATAAGTATTGATACTTTTCCCCCAAAACTGTACTATTTTACCCTAGCTGAAGAATAATATGGGTGTTGTTCTTCCTATATCGATACTCGTACCCATAAATGCCCTATTTTGGGAACAAAAAAATGCTAACTTTCTCCTTCAAATGTCCTATTGAGGTTCCCATTTGTTATTTAAGTCTTATGTATGATTGAAGGGATCATAAAATAGTTTTTTTAACATGATGAAACATCAAAATATGTAATCTACCATAGACATGCTTCATAACTCACTCAACCTAGCAAAACATACCTAATGATCTAAATGTGATAGAGATGAGTTAGAAGTCTGAAACCTGATGTTCTAAGCTACTGAGAACTTATAAAGGTTCAAATAAGAGTGAACTTTTCTTTTCCTCTAGCTTTGGAGTTTTCTCCAGCTTCTATCATTAAACAAGAAGTTAACATAAGGGTTGCTAGCTGAGTTTAGAGGTTAGAAGCGTTTAAGAACACTTCCTAAGACTAAAAATCTATGAAAACATATTAAATCCTCCAAGTTCCTTGAACCCCCACAAAACCCATTTTTGAAAACGATAGCCAAAGTTTGTGTTTGAGGGCTTGAATCGAAGCTCTATGAGTGAAGATTATGATTCTTAACTTAGCCTAGTCAGACTATGATTAAATACTAATAAAACTTCTACCTTTTTTCAAGCCTTTAAGGGAAGAAGATGAAGTTTGAAAGAGAAAAAAATGACAAAGAAGAATTGAGTAAAAAAGAAGAATTGAGTAAAAAATGATAAAGATGAAGCTTGAAGGAGAAGAAAATTAATGGGTTTTTAGTATTCGCTTGAAAATTTGTATAATTACCTCCTTCGTCCTTCAAACTTCTTCCTAAGATTAAAAATGCCACACTTTATAACATCTAGGCCCTAAACTAGGCCCAAATCAAACCCCAAATAGACAAAGCTCTTCTACAAGGCTAATGGGTTTATCTAAACACTTTCGAGTTAGCCTAATCTACTAACCCAAGATTTGGGCCGTTACAACTCTCCCCTCATAATTAGAAATTTTATTTTCAAAATTTACCTGAATAGAAGAGGCGAGGGTATTGAAGCTGCATATCCTCCAAGGTTTCCCAAGTTACTTTTTCAATGCCATGGTTCTTCCACAACACAATCACTAAAGGAATCCCCTTGTTCTTTAACTCTTTCACATCCCTTACTAAAACTTGATTGGTTCTTATGTATAGGTCATACATGGGCTGACCTGAATTTGGCCTAGGGATATGAAATGGGAAGGATCATAACGTATCTCCTGAGCATGGATACATAGAACACATTGTGGATGCGCTTCAATTCTTGTGGTAAGGCTAACCTGTAAGCCACTGGTCCAATCCTTTCTAGTACCTCGTAAGGTCCTATGAAATATGAAGTCAACTTTCTTTTGCCCAAAGTGAAGTACTTTTTTCCAAAGGGAAGCCTAGAGGAACACTATGTCCCCAGCTATGAACTTGATATCTTTACACTTCAAGTCTGCGTAAGACCTCTACATGTCTGAAACTTTCTTTAGCCAGTTATGAATCAACCGAACTTTCTCATTCGCTTCTTTGGTCAAGTCTAGACCTACTATCTTACCTTCACTGAGTTCTATCCAACTTAATAAAGTCCTATATTTGCGCCCATACAAGGCCTCATACGGAGCCATCTGAATGCTCGACTGAAAATTGTTATTGTAGGCAAACTCAACTAAAAGCAAGTGATCCTCCCAACTACCCTCTATATCTATAATGGTGCAGATGAATTTTTCCTCTAGGATTTGAATAACTCACTCTGATTAACCATCCGTCTGAGGAAGGAAAGTTGTGCTGAAGTGTAGTTTGATGCTTAAGAGTTCATAAAGGGCTTTCCAGAAGTGGAAAGTGAATCGATAGTCTCAGTCTGATATAATAAAAGTTGATACCCCGTGCAATTTCACAATATCATGGATGTATAGCTGAGCTAATCTCTCTATGTAACACCCCCAACCCATACCCGACCCGGATATGAGTCAGAGATACTACATTGACTTTAAAACACAACTCTTAATAAATAATAGTAAAATATTTGATCTTATATTAAGAAAAATACAATAATATACGTACTGTAATATAAGTTTACCAAAATATTCAGAGCATACACAACTTAACCCTTTAATTACATGCCAACTGCTATTTACATAACAAAATGACCTACTGATTAAGTTGCTTCTGATCTGATGGTTGCAGGAGTAATACTGTCAAGCTGCTTCACCTGTCTCGTCTAATTCCTCGGATCCTACGTGTGAAACACTCACACGCTAAGTCATCGACTTAGTGAGGCAATAATAATAACAAGGCAATGTAATGTAATGAAAATGTCAGGATCATATGAGATGAAATGCAAACATGTACTTAATCAATGTAGTATACTTCATCAATATCCATACCTGTAAGCGTATGACTGTAACATTCATGAATCTATATTAATAAGTTTATTGGCCCATGATAGCATATTGAGAACCTAAGGTATCGGAGTAATGTGAGGTTGTGCACTATGCTGTCACCACAGCTCGTATAAATGCACCGAAGTGCCCCGTAGAATTGCACCGTAGTGCCATATAATGATGTCCATAAGGACCACATA